GACTTGCTTGTGCTTCACTTGATAAAATATGTAAAGAATGATAAACAGAACAATAAATAACAGTGTGGCACGTGCAACCTCCAGACTCATATATATGTATAAATATATATAAAATATATTAAAAAATATATAAATATATATATATAAAATCCTATAGCAGGGTGAATCTTTTGGTCTGGCTCAAGAGCAATAAACAGCAGGAAACGCTATTATTACATTCAGGTGAAAGATTGACTCTGTGGGGGCACAAAAGGTCTCATTAGATTTATGTACCTGGGAAAAATATGATGGCAGTACCTACATAATATATTTAAAGAAACTCAATTTGATACCACCTGTGACAATCTGCATTATTTATGCAGCAACAGCAAGGTAAATGACAGCTTTAATTTAAACTTTTCAGGCTTTATTTAATTTAAGGTGGACCCTCAGGCTGTATTTTCTGGTGGGTTTAGCTCTAAAAATGCTCTTATTGTTAAAGAAAACTGGGTAGCTAATCCCTCTGAAAATAACCCTTTAATTTTGTTCTAATGGTTTGGGTTTTGTTTTTTTTTTTGGTATTCACAGGAATGCCAGTTATGTTTTGAGATTTAATGTAGGGCAATTACAGGTAAAGTATTTATGTGGGAAAAGTCCTACCAGACGAGCACATTACTTCTAATTAATTGTGGATTTCTAAAGGGTTCAGCGTGCTCCTAAAATTCTACACCCTCTACCAGATAACAGAATACATGGCCAGGAAACAAATGGAGAAGGGAGATTTTAAAATGGGTGTGAACAGAGCAGGTAGAGCTTTACTAAAAATAAAATAATAATAATAAAAAAAGCAGCTCCAAGTGCTCCAGCTACTATGTCTTAATTTTCAACATACAAAGTATTTTTTAAGAACTGAGCATTTCGTTTAAGGCACTAAATTTATGCACTGCAAAAGAGCAGGGTGGGGAAACCTCCTGCAGAAAAGAAAATGCAGATTGACCCGCAGAATCACAGGCCACCACCAATCTGATACACACTTTCTTTTTTTTTTTTTTCCCCTAAAACTGGCTGGAATTCCATATACTAGGGAGCATTCCAATCCTCAAAGTGCAATAACATCCTATATATGACATATCCACACGTATGTGAGTTTTAGAAGTGCCACAACATCTTTATTTTTGTTACTTGGCAGTGCTGGTTCTCCATTAAAAGTGTATTATTAAGATCTATCTTTTCAGGCCCGAGTTAGGCCTTATAAAATAATAGCTCTTTGATGAAATAAATGGTGGTTTTTAATTACAATTATATTTTATATTATTATTGTGTAAACACAAAATATATATGCACACTTTTTTTTGTTGTTGTTCTGTTAATCTTTTTCTTTTCTGGTAGCTTGTAAGTGAATTTTTTTTTGTTTCTTTTTCAGCAAGTTATGTCTTAGGAACTGCATGAAATTTCCTCGTTCCACTTAGGAGTCCTTTCAACAGGGGAGGCTGTCAAACCCAAGATTAATAAACAAAACCCTGCTTTCAGTGCTGCAGGTTATTTTTAATTCAATATAGAAAGAATTACATTGCATCCCATTATATTTTCTTTAGGAAACCAACGTTCTGAGCAAAACCATTCTGCAGTTCAGAGCAGTAACTCAGACAACCTCCTCCAGAGCCACTGCTGAGCTCTTCATTTCCCAGTGGTGGCCACATTAAAAGCCTCTGAGTGATGCTGTGCAGAGCAAAACGAAGAACTTATTCTTCATGTGCTGCTCAGCTGACTTGCACTAAACTCCAAGCCCAAATGATGGAGTAGGCAGACCTAATGCTATTTATTTTTAGAGAGGAGACAAATAAAATCGCTTCTTTTCATCTCTTTACTTCTGCAGTGGTGGCAAAGGTGTCCAGGGTGGTGCCAAAGTGTGTCCTGGGGTTCCTTGGAAACTCCCGGGTGTCTCATCTTCGTAACAACAGTTCTGCTGGAAAGGTCTGAATCTAAATTATGCCTCATGACTAAGTGAAGAAGTTTCATTTAAAGACAATTCCCAAATGTTCAGATTATACATCCTTGCAGAAGTAGGTGCCTGTTCTGCTTGTAACAGTGCAGATCATAGAAATATAGAATGGTTTGTGTTGGAAGGGACCTTAAAGGTCATCCCATTCTGACCCCCTGCCATGGGCAGGGACACCTTCCACCAGCCCAGGTTGCTCCAAGCCCCGTCCAACCTGGCCTTGGACACTTCCAGGGATCCAGGGGCAGCCACAGCTTCTCTGGGCAACCTGTGCCAGGGCCTGCCCACCCTCACAGAGAAGAATTTCTTCCCAATACCTGATCTCATCCTGCCTTCTTGCAGTGTGAAGCCATTTCCCCTTGTCGTGTCACTCCAGATCCTGCTGAAGAGCCCCTCTCCACGTGCACAAGTGTTTTATACAGATAATGCAGGCACCTCTGAAGGAAAGGTAGACATCCCTGTCCACAAAGGGCAATTCTGACAGCCTGAACCACCAGCAGCTCCTGCCTGTTGACTCTGCAGCGAGCCAGAGTATCCCCCTGAGTGATTCAACACACTAACAGAAAACAGCATAAAGGAAGGGGGAATTATAGAATCATAGAATATTCTAAGCTGGGAGGGACCCACCAGGATCATCCAGTCCCAGCCCTGGCCCTGCCCAGGATACCCCAACACTCCCCCCTGTCCCTCAGAGCGTTGCCCAAACGCTCCTGGAGCTCTGGCAGCCTTGGGGCCGTGCCCACTGCCCTGGGGAGCCTGGGCAGTGCCAACCACCCTCTGGGGGAAGAACCTTGTGCTGAGCTCCAACCTGAGCCTGCCCTGGCACAGCTCCAGCCCTTCCCTGGCTGCTGTACCTGCTCCCAGCGAGCAGAGGTGGGAGCTGCCCCTCGGGAGGAGCTGCAGCCCCCTCTGAGCTCTGCCCTTGGGCCCCTCTGCTCCAGCTGGTTAAGCCAAGTGCCCTCAGCTGCTCCTTGTAGGGCCCTTCTAGACCCTTCATCATCTTCACAGCCTCCTTTGGGTGCTCTCTGACAGCTTCATATCGTTCCTATAACGTGGCACTGCATTACACTGATAGACATTATGCAGATAAATCCAAACAGCCTACTTAACTCAGAGTTTATGAATGCTTATCCATCCCTGGGAAGTAGTTTTGAGCTCACATATAGAAGGTGAACACAATTAAACCAGGGGGAACATGGGCAGCAAACCTCCACCCCAACAAGATTTCAGCTAATAAAAGGTGGTATTGCTGCCCATGGTTTTGTCCTTTAAACCAACAGCCAAATTCTTGTTATACACAAACTGAACTCTAATATTCATTCTAGTTATGTAGTTTAGGAATCCTAGACAGGAAATTCAGGATTCTGGCTTGATTGCTTTTAAGGTGTGAATGTTCAACAGCTCCAAATGGATCTGCACCATCTCAACTGTTCTTTAAAATCTGGGAGTATGTCAAAGCAGGAGTCTCTGTATGACTGACTTTAGTTACAGATTATTACCACTAATTACAAATTATTACCACTAATCTCAGTAACGGTCAACACCAATTATCTACTCTAATGTACTTTCTGGAATTTACACTAAGGAAAACTGGGATCAGTTTGCTTACACAAACACTTAAGAGGCAGTTTTAGGAAGCAGGTTAAGACTGGTTTGGAATCAATACTCCACTCGTGGAGCTATTTGCTTAGCACTAAAAAAAAAAAAAAAAAAAAAGACACTGATATAAAGGCACTTGAAATTCTGAATAAGCAGGCTTACAAGAACACTTCCTCTCATTCTCTGTAACTTCAGCTCACCATTCATTTCTACGTATCTCAAATCTTTGACTATTCACTGGAAATTCTGATTTGACTTCAGCCCAGTTTCCATTTTTACCAGTGAAGGGGTGTGATAAGCTGCCAGACCGCTTTGCCCTGCTGGTGGTGCTCATCACATCAACACAGCAAGTGTGAACAGTGACCACAGAGCCCACGGCTGAGGTTTTTCTAAACAACTGGTGATGGGAGATGAGATGAGAACGCAGGTGTTGGTGACAGAGAGACGTGAAGCACAGCCCTCACTGGTACATCACCCACCAATTGTGAGCAACTGACCCTCTGGACCTTTGCCCTTCAGCAACACCGAAGGAAAACTGTTTTGACAGTGAGGCATTTTAAACAGGAAAACTCTTGTTTGGATAGTTTCCTTGAAATTAAAAAAAAAAAAAAAAAAAATTATTCTCCATTGTGGTTTTTTTCAGGTGTCCCAGAGAGTGCTCCTAAGCTTGGGGAAGCTGCTAATGGATACTCAAAAATTCACTATATTACTCTTTCAGCCTAATCAATACAATTCTCCTTCACAGTGACATTGATAAAAGAAGTCCTGAGACAACAGTTAATTCACAGGCACGCTGTGGATACTGCCAGTTGGGCTGAGTAATTTCTTTTCCTGCTCTTTTCTACTCCCTGCCTTGCCTCCATACATGTTGTTTCTTCACCATGAATTCTTCTTAAATGCAACTCCACTTTTTGGCACTATGTTTACAGTAAAGATCAATAGTTTACTCCCCCTGCCATTACAAGATTTATTTTTCTTTTTCCCCCTCTATGCTTCTCTGGTTATTTTTAGAGCAAAGGCAACTGCCCAAATTACTGCATCTGACAACTTCCACCGAGTGTTAGATCACACACACCACACCCTTGATGGAGCAGCAGTGCTGTTCCAGCCTACAGCAAACCCACATTTTATTAACTTTAATATGTGCTCTTTCAAAGCAAGTTCACGTCCAAAAACCGTCCCCCAGTCAGAGGAGACACAGAAATCTTGCACAGGCTCATGAGGTGACTGTGCCTGTAGCACCTTTTAAGAGCTCTTAACACCTGAACAGGGCTGGGTGGTGTGATGAGGAGACCCTGCAGCCTTCTGGGACGGCAGCAGGTGGCTAGGTGCCACCTGGGGCATCTAAAATGGGGCCAGGTTCACAGATTTAGACAACTGAGCTGCACCCATCCCGAGGAAAAGCACTCCTGAGCTTTATTACCTTGACCCGTTAACCTGGTTGGGGTTACACTCCATCTTGATGGTGACTCTGGCGGGGGGCTGTGACAACCAGTCCTGCTGGGGGACACGTGGGCTCATCTTTGAGGTCTGCCCATATTCACTGGAGGAGGAGGCCGTCATCTCTGTCTTGGCGAGGTGGGGTGATCCGTAGGCACACTCGAACAGGGACTGGTCTTCGCTCACCACCGATAATGCTTCCTGCAAACAGCACAGGGGTCAGTGGGACCACGACTCAGAGCAGACATTACAGTACTCCCCCGGGAAAAGGGGCTTGTCCCTCTCAGGAGGAGATGAAGTCATCACTAGTTTATTACTCTTTAGGCGCACCAGTGCTGGTGGAGGGGAGGGCCCATGGGCACAGACCTCTTGCCAGCTCTCCCCTTGGGGAGACCCTCCCCACCAGCAGCTGAGCCAACGCACAAACACACACCACCAAACACTCGGGAACAGTGGCCAGGAGCAGGGAGGGAGCAGAGGGCAGGATGGGCAGCAAAGCCTGGGTCTGTGGAGTCCCAGGTAGCGATGCAGAGGGCCAGATGTGCCAGGGGTGTGGACGGACTGCCACCACTGCTTTAACTGCCCCTGAAAGGAGAGACCTAAAGCCAGGCCTTGCTGACTCACTGGGAGCTCCCCTTGCTTCCTCTGGGACACAGGCCAAGTCCCTTCTGGACCAGGAGCTGAGACCAGGAGCTGCCAGCTCTGGGAGAGGTACCCAACACCAGCCCCGAGAGGACACGGTGCCCACTCTCTCTCTCATGGCAACCCTTCCTGGCTGGGCATCCTGTGGGAAGGGCTTCCCCAGCCACCCTCCCTCACCAAAGTGGTTATGGCCTTCGAGGGCAGCAGGGCTCACCAGACCCCTCAGTGACGGGGCTGCTGCCATCACGGCTGGCTGGAGACCAGACAGACTCCAGAGGGAGGGAAGGTCACCCTCTATCCCTGCTGTCCAGCATCCATGCTGGCACCAATTCCTTCCCTGTGTCATCATGGTGATGCCTGGGTCAGGTTCAGGCTGGCAGTGTCTACCACAACCATCAGGAAGCTGTGGGAAGAGCTGAAACTCCTGAAGGGACACATCCTGCCTGGGATGAGGCTCCCTGGCCACCAAAACTGGTCTAGGCTCCCACACTCCTGCTGTCCCAGCAGTGCAGAGGCTCAGGGGGCACCCCTGAAAAGCAGGCTTCCCAGGAAAGCACCCCTCTCCAGGGGCTGCTTAGGGTGACCATGGTGCTAAGGAAAGGGACATTCCAGGGAGTCCCCATCCCTGGAGGTGTCCAAGGAAGGCCTGGCCGTGGCACTCAGTGCTCTGGTTGGCGAGGTCACAGGTTGGACTTGGTGATCTCAGAGGGCTTTTACAACTTGAGTGATTCTGGGGTCCTGTGAGATGGACAGCAACCACAGCACAACTCCATCCTCCCACCCTGGCCCCGAGGCACGGGATGGAGCAGGGGGTGCAGCCCAGCACCTCCCTCCTCACCAGCAGCCAGGAAACAGCCCCCAGCCCTGGGCTGGTGAGGAGGCTCAGTGTGCAGCCCCTGAGACGACAGCAGCCGTGGAGGAGGCCAGCTGGCAGTGGCTGGAGGCGCAGGGGCCAAGGATGGGGGTGAGGAGGGGAGCCCGAGCCAGATTCTGGGGCAGGGTGCTCCATGAACGACCCCACCCTCCCCAGGCAGCATGTGTGGGCTGTGCTGCTGCCAGATCTGCTGCTGATGGCCCACAGGAGGACAATAAAAGCGTGTGGCCCTGTCAGCAGGGGATGGTGGAGAGGGGAGAGAGAAAAGACACGGAGTCCTCCAGCTGCCTGCAGGCTCCCACCCTCCCTGCCTGCTGGAAGAGGGCTCTGCACAAGCTCCAGCAGTCACATGCTGCCTTAAAAAATCTCAGCAGTTGCATTTGCTCATTTTAAGGCACATGGTATGACTCTTGAGGGTGTCCTGTGAAGGGCTAAGAGCTGGACTTGATGATCATGGTGGGTCCCTTCCAACCAAGGATGTGATTCTGTGGTTCTACTTTCATCATTCTTTTTATCTACCTGGTTTGTGAGCCCTCAGAGTGCCCCTCTGTTAACATTCATGCTTTGCTCTGCAACTGCAGAGGTGGGAACATCTTACTGCTCATGAAAATTGAGATCCTCCCTTAATGCCTGGACTTGGGATCTCAAGCAGTCAATCCACTGTGAGACTTGCGACTGAGTCACTAACACCGAGTTCAGGCAGTGACCTGCACCACTTCACTGCTGATTTTCAGATGTTATTTGAGTGCAAAGATCACCACCAGGGTGTCACCACTGACTCCCCAGTTGCTTCCTTGCTCTACATGCCCACCAACCTGTACCCCACTACTAAACTGACGCTTCTTTGGTTTCTGGTGATGTGAACATGGTTCTGTGAGACAAAAAGGATGCCAGAATAACACCTCTGCTTTTTGCCATGCCTCTCATGCTCCTCTGGGTCTCTGATCTGCCAGAAACCTGTGCTGTTGGTGGTCTGAAGCTTTTCTGATGGGCCATTTCTGGGAAATTTCTGCAGACCGTGAGGTGGGAGGAGGTGGCTGTGGGTCCCTCGCCCCCCCAATTCCTCCCTGGCTACACTGAGCTGAGAGACAGCAGAGAGCTTGATGTGCTTGGGCAGGAAAGTAGCAGAGATCCTATCACAAGAACCAAAGAAAGAAAATGTAACACTGGGAGGAAAAGAAAAACTTCCTTCTCAGCAGTCCATGAGAGTTTTCATGAAAAAAAAAAATTAAATATATATATATATTCACAAACACAGCCTAGCCAGGTGGTCACAATGCATCCCACACCCCAAACTATCTGATCCACACTTTCCTCTTTTCTGCTCCACTGTACAGCAAACACATGAGCCAAAAACCACCTAGCAAAAAGTTAATTTTGGAAGAGGGAAGCTCCAGCAAATACATGAAAGTGTGAATTATACAGGAGAAAGCAAATACAAGATTGCAAATATAGCAGAGTATTATTTAACTTTTTAAGCCATTTATTAATAGACCTTCTCAAAACAAGCACCAAGCACTGTATAATAAATTTCTCCTTCTCCCCCACACAAGTGAAACAAAGCAAATTCTGCTTTCTATATAAGAGATTCTGCTTTCTATATAAGAGGAGTGCATGTGATAAAAGTTAATGAATACTTAGGGTAAGTATAAATGTAAACACACACAAAAATATGGGTTTTCTATTTATTGGCATTTCTAACGACAACAAATATTGCTTGTGCTATGGGTGCCTATTATGCTGCAAAAAGAGGGAAAGTCCACACATTTCAACTTCCTGAGGAGGACAGGAAAATGCTGGAAATATGAGCCCAATCACCAAATGCTGTGTCAATACCTACAACTATGGCAAAGACAAGACACACATAAATGAACCCAAGAGACGGGCTTGGACTTTTAGACATTTCAGAGGAAAATTCCTAGTTATTCACGGACAAAGAAAGCTCAGTGCTGCTTGCTGGGGTTTTGTTCTGGTTTAATAGCACTCATCTGTGCTCTGTCCTTATCAGTCAGTGCTCGCTGACAGGTCTGTGAAGGCTCTGGAGGAATAACTGAGCTCCTGCCAACTTTGTGTGCTCTTGGGTTGGTCCTCACGTGGAAGCCTCATCAATGTGCACTCTACAACGGTGAGTAACCCTGACATTTCACTCCAAGTCCTCACTGATCTGTCCTGGCCCGTTTTTAAGGACAGTAGGACATGTATCCCCCTCCCTTGAGCACATTATAAAAGCTGAACTGGCCAGATAAGCCTTAGCAAAATGCTGAGGAGTCAGCATAAGAACATGGTCTAAACTATGATTAGCTTTACTTGCTCTTTAACCACCTTTTCCCTCCTCTCACACCTAAATGAGATTGAGATTTCAGAGTGAGAAATGTGAAAAATATGTTGAACATCTCTTCTACTCCTCCTGTCACCCAGGGCTCAGGCAGTCACACTGACTGTCCTCTCCTCCAAATGCAACCAGGACCATTGATGTCAATTTACCAGCAACCACTACAGACGATATTTGTGGTCCTTGCATATCCTCACACACGGAGGAAAAAGCTGTCTGCAACTCATGGATGGGAGCTGTGTGTCCAGGACTGCACCTGCTGCCTCTCTTCCTCTCAGTGACCTTAAATTACAGGATCACAGAATGGTTTGGGTTGGAAAGGACCTTATAAATCATGTCATTCCAACACCCTGCCATGGGCAGGACACTTTCCACTAGCCCAGGTTGCTCCAAGCCCCGTCCAACCTGACCTTGGACACTTCCAGGGATCCAGGGGCAGCCACAGCTTCTCTGGGCAACCTGTGCCAGGGCCTCCCCACCTTCACAATCAACAATTTCTTCCTAATATCCAATCTAACCCTGCCCTCCTTCACCTTAAGGCTGTTCTCCCTTGTCCTATCCCTCCACGCCCTTTTGAAAAGTCCCTTTCCAACCTTCTTGTAGCCCTTTTAGGCACTGGAAGGGGCTCTAAGGATTCCCTGGAGCCTTTTCTTCTCCAGAATGAACAGCCCCAGCCCTCCCAGTCTGTCTTCACAACAGAGGTGCTCCAGCCCTGTGATCAACTTAGTCAACTTAAAAGGTGAGGATTTCTGGCCCAGGCTTTTCTGAATCCACTGACCTTGCAAGACACGGTGATGCCGAACCATCAGAACTCAAAACAACCTGATATAACCCCGTGTGAAACTCATCCCGGAAACAGCAGCAAGAAATGTGAAGCATCTCTCATCTCTACAGGACTGGCTGACAACTGGCACAACTTTGGATCATCAAACGCGAGCTGTGAAAGGAAGGAAGGTTCTAACAGCAAACTGCTGCACTGAAACAGCTCACAGAGAGCAGTCTGGGTATTTCTTCCTTGAATACAGGGACTTAGGAGTGTGTTTTCTGCTGTAACTGTAAATGCAAGCTCCTGGACCAGACAGAATATAAAAACTGTCAGAATTCACAGTCACGAAAAGCAGCGGCACGGCCTGGCCACGTAGAAATGTAAACAAAACTATTAACACTGACAGTGTTTGGCAAGGTTTTATTACATATGGATGCCAGCTCTATTTCTAGTGAAGGCTTTTCATGACTCATTTACATCTTAATCTTTTTCTCTCATCCATATTAATGCTGTTTCTGGGGCACTTTTGGCAACATCAAGCCACAAGCGGGATATATTAATGTAAACATTAATATTACAGAGGAGAT